CCAGAAATACAGGTTGGGTTTAGAAGAGACAATGACACTGTTGCCAAAGTCAGATGAATCTTGGCTAAAAACAGTATACCAAAGGACGTCTATTTGTGTCTCATTGACTATGCAAAGGCATTTTACTGAATGGATCACAATAAATTGTGAATAACATTGGGAAGAATGGGAATCTCAGAACACTTGATTGTGTTCATGCACCTGCACCTAAACCAAGGAGTTTTCTTAACAGAGCAAAGGAACACTGCATAGCTCAAAATTAAGAAAGGAGTGCATCAGGGATGTATCCTTTCTCCATTCCTTTTCAATCTATATGCTGAACAGATCATTTTAGAGGCTGAACTTTATGAAGTATGTAACATCAGGATTGGAGGAAGACTAATCAACAACCTGTGTAATACAGGTGAAACAACCTTGCTTGCCAAAATTGAGAAGGACTTGCAACCTTTGATACAGAAGATCAAGGACTGCAGTCTTCAATATGGATTATAACTCAACATCAAGATAACAAAGATCCTCACCACCAGGCCAATAGGAAGCATTATGTTAGATGGGAAAAAAATGTTGAGGTTGTTAGTGATTTAATCTTGTTTATGTCCACAATCAACACCTGTGGCACCAGCAGCCAGGAAATCAAAAGACAAGTTGCATTGGGGAAATTTGCTATCAAGGACCTCTTTAGAGTGCTACAAATCAACAATGTGTGTCTAACACTAAGGTGTGGCTGATCCAGGCGATGGTCTTATCAATTGCTTACTATGTGTTTGAGAGCTGGACAATAATAACTAAGGATGGCAGAAGAAGTATTGATGCCTTTGAGCTATGGTTGTGGAGAAGAGTCTTGAACATACTGTGGTCTCCCAAGAGAAGAAACAGTTTTGTTTTGGAGAAGGTGAAACTAGGTTCCTTCTTGGAGGCAAGTGTTTTGCAACTCTGTCTCACATATTTCAGGCATGTTGTCAGGAGGGAGTAGTCCTTGGAGAGTGACATCGTGTTAGAAGAGTAGAGAGTCAGTGCCAGAGAGGAAGCCCTTGAATGAGGTAGATCGACACAGTGACAATGGGGTCAGGTGTGTCAGAGAAGTTGAGGTTGACTCAGGGTAGGGCAAGGATCAGAGCTGTTCTCTGTATTGTAGTTAACATGATGCCACATAACAACAACATAATTATATTTTAATAAATACTATTGATCATTTTTATGTTCTTAGCTACATGCCAATGAATGTTATTTTTAAAAAAAGAAAGAGTGAACAGGAAAGGGAAAATAAAAAAAACTAAAAAGCCTCTTGAGAATTTTTGTGTAAGAAAATTCTATCCAAACCAGCACAGGCCAGTTTATGAGAAGGATACAGAGGTGCTTCATGGAACCTTAAAGCAGAAAGTATGCTCCACAATGGACTGGAATGGCACAGAAGGCAAGAATGAAGGTTCCAACTTGGTGTTTCCAGTGTGTAATCTGGCCACACATGAGGGCTCAACATCATTTCCACAGTGTACTATTCTTCCACCACAAATAACCAAGAGAGAATCTGATTGGTTTCAATGAAAGATCTTTTTATCAGTTAACTTTGCCGGCTGTGTCTTACACAGATGTTAACTGAAACAGAGGCAAAGCCTCCTTTAGACCGTTTTGACGGAAAATAGGTAACAATTTTATGTCAACTTTTAATTTATCTCTTTTTCAATATCTTCCAGGTAAAATACACATGTTTCCTGATGACTACATTCTGAGGTAAGCTGAAAATAAGTCATTTCATATGATTCTCAAGTCACAAAGGAAAATATTAGATGCTATTCTGCTACTCAGGAGCTCTGATGACCCAGTTGTTAAACACTTGCTTGCTAACCAAAAGGTCAGTGGTTTGAACACTCTCAGTAGCTCCACAGGAGAAGGATTGCAGTCAGCTCCTGTAAAGACTTTACCGTTATTGTTGTTGTTAGGGGCCATCAACTGGTTTCAATGCCTAACAACCAGATGTGCAATGCAATGAAACTCTGGTAGGTCCTGTACCATCCGCAAAATCATTGCCGTACATTCCTGCAGCCACTGGGTCAGTCTAGCTTATTTAGGCTGTTACCCCTTTCCACTATTTTCATGATATCCTTCTTCAGGGACCGGTCCTTTGTGATAGCACACTTAGAATAAATGACATGCTTAAGTAAATCTTCACTTTCAAGAAGCATTGTGGCTGTACTTTTTCCAAGACTGATTTGTACATTCTTCTGGCAGTTCATGATAGAGTAAACATCTTCGCTAATACCATCCTGCAAATGTATCAACTCTTCTTTGGCCGTCCTTATTCATTGTATAGCTTTCCCATGTGTATGACGTGATTGACAATATCATGATTTGAGTCAAGGGAACCTGAGTCCTCAAAGTGGTATCTGTGCTTTTTAAAACATGAAACAGGTGTTTTAGAGCAGATTTGCCTAACACAATGTGTCATTTAATTTCTTTCTTCCATTCATTCTCTCTCCTCTAGTCTCTTCCTCCCTCCCTCGACCCTTCTTTTTCTTTCTTACTTTTTATTGTGATTTGGCTGAAAGTTTACAAGGCAAACTAGTCTTCCGTTCAACAATTTATACACATTTTACATCATGAGGTTGGTTGCAGTCCTCTCAATGTAGCAGTAGTGCTCTTCTCATCACTTCCAGGGTTTACCATTTCTACTCATCCTTCTTTTCCTGCCTCTTCCTGCTTCTGAGCTTTATTTTCTGGCAAACGTTGCCTTTCCTGAATGGTCTTGAATGGCTGATTGTACTAAGAAACTTCTTCCTCTTTGGTGTTATTATTCACTCCATAGGCTTTGCTTTCATTTTGAGGAAAGTTGATTTCTGGGAGAAAGGAGGGTTTCAGATCCAGACTGTAAGCATGTCTAAAGACAAAGGTCTTTAAAGTTCCATCAATCTCTATCACACCACTAAACTTTCTTTTTTATTATTTTGAATTTTTTTTCTACATTTCCCCCCCCCTTCCATTTTGTCCAAGATATTCTATTATGATGTTGATGATAGAATCTAGGACTGTTGATTCTTCTAACATCTAGAAGCACTGTAGTTCTTCTGGTCTAAGGATAAAGGAGGTCTGGTCCACTAGTCTTTTGGACTAATTTGTTCCTTGAGCTTTGATTTTTTTCCCTTCTCTTATGACTCTAATTATTACTCAACAAAGTTGCAAAGTCCACAAATACTATCTTTGTGGACCATGTTATGCCAATTTACCCAGATATTCCCTAATACTAGAGTCATAAGTCCCCAAGCTCAGTGATTCATTCTTTCAAAGTATTTGGTGGTAAAAAAGTGCAGGTGGGGTTTAGAAGGGGTCGTGATACTAAAGATATTGCAGCTAAAGTTAGGTGGGTCTTCTCTGAAAGCAGGGAATACCAGATGGATGTCTACCTGTGTTTAATTGATTATGCAAAGGTGTTTAACTGTGTGTACCACAACAAACTGTGGCTGACTCTGAGAAGAATGGGAATCCCAGAACACTTGATCGTGCTAATGTGAAACCTATACTTGGAACAGTATAGCAGTCATCAGAACAGAGCACAGAAACAATGCATGGTTCAAAATTGTGAAGGGTGTAAGCCAGGGATGAGCCCTATCTCCATATCTTTTCAATCTATATGCAGAACAGATTATCTGGGAGGCTGGGCTCTATGAGGAGAAATGTGGCATCAGGATTGGTGGAAGATCCATCAACAATCTGTGTTATGCAGATGACACAATCCTGCTTGCTAAAACTGAGGAAGACATGAAGCACTTACTGTAGAAGGTCAAGGATTGCAGCCTCCAATATGGATTAAGGCTCAATATCAAGAAGATAAAGATTCTTGCCACTGGGACAATTGGCAGCATCATTCTGTATGGTGAAGAGATTGAGATTGTTCACAGTTTTCGTTTGCTTGGCTCCACAGTCAACACTTTTGGCACAGGCAGCCAGGAAATTAAAGACATATTGCATTGGGAAAGTCTCCTATCAGATACCTCTCCATAGTACTGAATAGCAATGGTGTCACTCTGGAGACTAAGATGTGCCTGATCACTTGCTATGCATCAGAGAGCTGGACTATGACTAGTTAGGAAGGAGAGAAGGAGAAGTGATGCCTTTGAGCTGTGGTGCTAGAGAAGAGTATTGAATGTACCATGGACTCTAAGAAAATGAACAGATTCATCCTGGAGAGGATTAAACCAGGCTGCTCCTTGGAGGCAAGTATTCTGAGGCTTCATCTGACATACTTTGGACATGTTGCAAGGAGGGATCAGTCCTTGGAGAGGGACATCATGCTTGGAAGGGTGGAGGGACAGTGCAGGAGTAGAAGACCCTCTATGAGGTGGATTGATTCAGTGACTGGGGTAATTGGGGAAGGTGTGTTGGAGACAGTGAGATTGGCACAGGACAAAGGAGGGTTTTGGGCTGTTGTATATAGGGTAGCTATGAGTTGCAGATGACTTGACAGTACATAACAACAACACAAAAAGTTTTAAAAATTTTGACTTATGTATACTCTACAATCTTCTTGCATGTACTTGCAGTTCATACAAATACATGTTTAGACATACCTGTCAAAGTTGTTTGATTCTTAACAGCTGATTCTATGGACACAGATTGTGGATCCAAGTAAAATAAAACTTGGCAATTTTAAAATATTTTCTCAATTTATCAAGAGGCTGCTTATTTGTACAGTTTTAAGATTTTCATTTCTTTGTTCTGCTGGCAGCTATAGTCTTTGATCTTCGTCTTCAAGTGTTCAACTTCTCTTTGCTTTCTTTTTTTCTCTCAATAATTTAAATGAACATTTACGGAGATTTTGGATTTCCATTCATTCTTTGTTGCACTTTTCTCCCTGCCCAGCCCTCTTCCCCGCTCCCCTCCTCCCCACCCCCAGTTTGCTTCTCTCTTTGAAAAAGTAAAAGAAAAATTTTTTCTTTGGTATACAATCTTCCCACACCCCTTCCACCACCCCAGGTACACTCCACTATGCACCCTTAATTCTGGACTCTTGTGATAGCTATAATACCCTATCATATATTGCTTTTAAATTATTCTCTCCCTCATCTGTTTCAATGCAGTATACATAATTTATCCAGTTTTTCTCAATCTTACCCCAACCCTGATATCAGTCCCATTCTACAACAAAGGCACCATGCAGTATTTGTCTTTTTG